CCACGAACAAACAAACAAACCAGCTAACAAACAAAAAGACAGACAAACAAAAACTAACAACACACAAGCAAACAAGCAAGCAAGCAAGCAAGCAAGCAAACAAACAAACAAACAAACAAACAAACAAACAAACAAACATATACAAGCAAGTCACACAAACATCACACAAACAAACAAACAAACAAAAAAACAAACAAACAAACAAACAAACAAACAAACCGACAAACCGACAAACCGACAAACAAACATTTACGATCAAGCAAGCAAGCGAGCGAGCAAGCAAGCAAACAAACAAGCAAACAAACAAACAAACAAAGAAACACACAAACATCACAAACACAACCAACCAACCAACCAACCAACCAACCAACCAACCAACCAAGCAACCAAGCAACCAAGCAACCAAGCAACCAAGCAACCAAGCAACCAAGCAACCAAGCAACCAAGCAACCAAGCAACCAAGCAACCAAGCAACCAAGCAACCAAGCAACCAAGCAAACAAACAAACAAACAAACCGACACACCAACAAACCGACAAACAAACATATACAAGCAAGCAAGCAAGCGAGCGAGCGAGCAAGCAAGCAAGCAATCGAGCAAGCAGGAAAGCAGGCAAGCAGGCAAACAAGCAAGCAAACAAACAAACAAAGAAAAAGCAAACGAACAAACATACAAACAGACTAACCGACAAACAAACATATACAAGCAAGCAAGCAAGCACGCAAGCAAGCAAGCAAGCAAGCAAGCAAGCAGGCAGGCAGGCAAGCAAGCAAGCAAGCAGGCAAGAAAGCAGGCAGGCAGGCAGACAGGCAAGCAAGCACACAAACAAGAAAACAAACAAACAAACAAACACCATGCGGAACAAACGGGGGCCAGCCAGGGAAGCTCACAAGGACGCCAAGCGCCAGCCACTACAAAGGCTACCGCCGACCTGCAGAATTGACGAGGCTGCCAGGTGGCAGCTTTCTCCTCAGCGCCGCCTAGGAATAATCGCCTTCAAGGTTGAGCTTTGATTAGGGACGCTTTTGTGGACATCATTTATGTGGGGATTCATGTCCACCAATTATTTTGGAGGGCTTCTAAAATTCATGGCCACATAGACTTTCGGAAGGGTCCCAATACATGTACTTGGCGCTAAACAAGAGCAAGTGTTTCACGCAGCTGCGCAAAGTGCGGGCTGTTGCCTGTGTCAGTTGACATTGCACATAGCACTTCAATAACACTCTGGCCGACGTGGGGAGGCACTTTCCCATAGTTATCAGGGGCTTGGGCGTCCTATTTCTTAGCGTCACTCCATAAAGCTGCCGGCCAATTCACCCAAAGGCTTAGTTCTGGCAAATGTGTTGCAGGCAAAAGTAGCCTCAACCAGGCGTTCGATACATTGGGTGTGTCTCAAAATCAGCCGGCTGGTAGCCAGTTTAAGACCATCCAAAAAGGGGTAGCCTACCGATACTGTCCAGGGGCCTCTTGTCAACGTCATGTCGAACCGGCATCGGCATGGCACTCCCGTCCTGATCTCCTCCACCGATGGAAGCGGGAAAGTCTGGGCGGCCAACGACGACCGACCGTCGGGCTGCATGCCATTGACTTCAACAAGCTCACTAGGAAGTGGACACGAGTTTCGGGTGGTGGGATTTGCATGGGACTGTCCCTTCGATGTCCCAAGGGCCCCCTTGGCAATTGCCCCTTCGCTTGATCTGCTGATTGAGCAATGCCCCTTTCCCTTGAAAGCTGGTTGACATCAGTGACCAACAAGAACATGAAATGCCACATGGGTGGCTCTTATAGGAATCGGACCCACAAACCAGACTTCGGTCTTCATTTTCGTTCCAATTGACAATCCACCAAAAGGTGGTACCAACACCAACAAACACTCGGACCACCTCCGCGCTTCCGACTCCTGAAGCTCAACACGCTCGCGGCGCGAGCGCGCGGGCGTCCCGGGCTTCGCAGCTCTGAGGTGCGGGCCTCCCAATTTCGTGCCCACAGCTCGCCCTCGGGGAGTTCGGAAAGAAAACTGCGCGCAGTCGGAAAAACCGCGCTCGATTTGGGGCTGTCTGTCTTGAGGGTAACCCCTTTTTTGTTGCTTTTTAATTCAAACGAAACCAAGAGGAAAACCACAATTCTGTTTTGAGGGAAGTCGCTTAAAAAATTGGATAAGAGACTGTGCCCATTACAAATCCAAACCATATGGATTCACGAATTTACTCATGATGTCATGTCCCATGTCAACCAAGGAAAGCAAACTTGAAATTGCTTGTGGGGCGTGTGAGTGGTCATCAGCACAGTATCAGAAGCAAGCAGATTCTGCTTCTGCTCACGCATCTGGCTGTCCAAAATATGTTCCCTAAATGAAGGTGGTCTACATAACACCAGCAAATAGAACCTGCAGCCTCATTGTAGAGTCCAATCATGCAAGGGTTGCCTCAAATAAAACAAGCAAACAATAGTGGGCCACACGGTAAAATCACATTCCATGCAGTCCAGACAAATGCTGCTACGTTTGGCGAACATCTGGGTGACTCATCATGACTCACCCACCCTACTTTTATGGACTTCAAAGGGGGGCTATTGCTTTCTAACCCCTTTTAAGGCCTTGTCAAGAGCTTATCCTGGGCTTACCCAGGCCCCCCCCAAAGGCTGCCCCTAGGGTCCATGATGCTAAAGATCCCGTTAAAAGCATATCATCGCAGGTCTTTTGACACAACTCGCATGCTCTGTGCCAAGCGCGGCACAGATTTCAGCCAGAGCTGCACCCAATATCGCAAGTAGGCCTTGGCAACGAAGCAAGGCCTGATTAGCAGGCGGGACTTCTTCGAATAGTTCGGTAGCAATGGCAATTGCAGCAGGTAAGGGACTTGCCCACCTTGGATCTGACACAAGATGTATGAGCATTGCCTGTCTTGCAAAATTGTGTGCCGATGGTGAACAAATCTGAAGGCGACATATTAAGGTTTTCCCACGACTTTGTCCAACCCCCGAAATCGGGTGGATCAAGTATTCCTGTGCCGGGAGTGCGGCCATGCCCCAGCTACTTGTTCCTTATGCAGTACCTACACCTGCTGACGTACCTTCATTGTTCTGAAGCAACACCTCAGAAGGCATACGATTGGGTATTTCACACCTGCCAGAAGGGCGCTTTCCCCACAAGACAACAAGGATTGGAGGCAAAAGGCAGCAACGACCTGCTTGGGGCTTCAAGCAAGTTGTCTTACTGGCATTCCACTCAGCTTGTTGCGGAGCAGCACTACAAGTTGTCTCACTGGCCCACTTTTTTTGATTTTCACCTCTAAACAGTTCCGGGGGGGGGGGGGGGGGTGCTACACGTTTTTGATTTCAAAGACAATGCCACCCAGGCAGCCCGCCATGCCCTAGCTGCTTGGCCACTGCTCACCACCAGTTCGACTTTAGACTCGAAGCGAAGCCATGGCTGCCGGGCATGGGTCTCCTTCTGCAACACGGGGTCGGACTGGCCTGTGCCACGCCAAGGGCAGGGCATGTGAGTAAACATCGCAAACATACAGACATAGTATGTATCATATACATAGTATGTGTATATATGTAGAGCATACATTGCATAGTGTACGAATATATAGTATATATAGTATATATATATATGTAGTATACATAGTATACATCGTATATATAGTGTATGTATACATAGTATATAAAGTATCTGTAGTACATAGATATACATACTATATTTGTCTGATATATATATATATATACATGCATATATCTAACGTATACACATATATATATATGGTATACATCGTGTATATATATATAGCAGACAATACATACAGTGTGTATATATACATATTATGTATAGAGTATATATTTATATATGTATTGTATATAGTATATATATAGTATGTATAGTGTGTGTATATGTAGTGTATATGTAGTGTGTATATATAGTGTGCATATATATACATATCACATTAAGTATATTTAGTATGCATAATATATATGTATATATATATATATATATGTATATACATATATATATATATATTGTGTAGTATTTATAGTGTATATATAGTGCGTATATATAGTGTATATATATGGCATATACATACTACACACCGGAAAGCTAATGATCCAATCAAACAAGTTTTGTGTTTCGATCAAATAATAGCAAAAAGATGAGTTCAAAACTAAAGGCTAATCTTGTTTGACTGTCACTCAAGCACTCTCTTGGAGGATAGCCACCTTGTGTCCTTGTGGCGCCCTGGCGGAGATGCACAAGACTGCTCTGAAGCTGAATACAACAAGGGAATATGGTGGGGAACTGCATGGCATCGAGTTCGGGGATCTTCTGTTGCGCGGTATGTGTGCGCCATCCGCAACGTGAAGTTACTTTCATGGCTAACTTGGCGGTGGTTTGCCCTTTATCAAGCAGATTGGGATGATTAGTCGAAATAGCTATTTGTTTTTGGATTGAAACCAGCCACCAGGCAATGTTTCACATTGATGCTGGTCTGTTTCCAGATTTGGCCAGGCTTCGTGGCCCAAGACACCCGGCTGCTTACCTCGATTGAACATCATCTTGCAGATTGTCTTGGTAGAGAACACGCCAAGGAGCTCTGTTGAGATGTAGGATGTGTTGGCTGGGTACGTTGCTCTTGGCTAAGGATTGACCAAAAAAGGCTGATTGGGACCTCATTTGTTGCATTCCGTCTCCTGAGAAAAGCATGTGCTACCATGCCAGGAATACATCGTCTCCCTAGGACTGAGTCAAAGAAAATTGGTTGACAGCGAATCGGAGGATGTGTGACAGGGATCCTTGGGAAACACAATAGAGAACCGCCAGGAAATTTCAATGGGGCATACTGAATGCCTTAATATTGACATGTCTATTCTGAGTGGGGACTGCGGCATGCTAAAAACAAACAGTATAATGTCCTGAGGCGATACAATACCCCAACATCCCTGCCGCGCGAGGACACATTGTTTTGCTCTCGCCGAGCTATGCCAGCACGCCGGCATGAGGCCTGTCACAAGCTTCTGCGCTTCTTGACTGGTGGTGCTGCTTCTGAATGATAGAAGAGGTCCTGGACGGGCTTGGGGAACTGGCGCTTCTTGATCTGCTCTTGAATTTTAACGCAATCAGCTCCAAATCTTATGCAAGCCTTCTTCAGAGTGTCCAGGTTCTTCAGGGCTGCGTGCTCCGCAATCTCTCGGAAATTGTCTTCTGTGATCATTTCCGCAACGAGATCTGCAAGCATTGATACCAGAACCTCCACTTGCCAACGATGAGCTAGGTCCAAAGCTGACAATGCATTCTTGTAGTCCGGATCACTCAATAATGAAGATGTGTAGAGTGCTTCGAGAAACAGCGTGACTGCGCTACTCCCAGTGTCGTGCAGCTGGATTCGTTGAGACTTCCCTTCCCTCATAGTCGATCCCAGCATGGCCCGGACTACCGGGGATGCTTCCATAAGCATATGTGTATGAGCAGTGACTTCGCTGTCGGAAGCTTCGATGGTCAGGTCATGTGAGGCAGTGGCACGTAACGACTTCTCCCAAATGTCAACGATGCCTTCATGCACGGAGGCTTTGCGCCGAACACTCTTCTGCTGCATAGCTTGAACAACCCGATCGACCACCTTGTCGAGGAATTTGCTCGTGTCTTTCCAATCCCCTGCTTTTGCTTGAGCAAATTTGTCTTTCCAAGCTTTGATCCAGGAAAGAAAGGAGTGTCCTCGGTATGAGACGCTAAGCTTTGTGTTGTGTTCGTCTCGCGCCTTCCATATGCTGAACTCTTGACTTGTGGCACACTTTTGGGACGGATTGGCCCCTGACCGAATAAGCCACTCAACTACATCCAGCACTTCTCCTTGTTTCTGCTCGACGCAAACGAAATCACAAGCTTCGATGAGGACGGTGGTCTTGAGCGTAGGATGCAGCGATCCATCCCAGGAGAAATCTTCTGGGACAGCACCTCTTAGCTGCTGATACTTGTGCATGTCCAGCAAGGTCCAGAAAAGTTCCTTCTCATGATCACTGGACATGCCAAGAAGTGTCCTTCACTCCTCGGACAAGTGCTCCAACAACATCACATTCTGCTCCAACTATCCCCAAAACACACTACCACAAAGTACCAACTCTGGATATATCCCCTCGACTTTGTTGGATCTGAAATGCTGATCTAGTGTAATTTCCATGAAATGGCGGTACCTCAAACAACGTGCTTTCCGAAGGGATCTCTTCGAAATGTCTGAGGATCTTGACAAGGAATCACTTGAGCCATGTCCTAAACGTGTCATGATTTGATACGTCGTATCATTCTGCTTACGCCACCAGCTTACGCCACCTTACGCGCGTGGAGTTTTTCCTTACGCGCTGGTTGATGTTCTTACTAAACATGCACACGGAGGTTTTGGACGCCGCTCACTTGTGGTCCAGGACACTTGCAAACTCACAATGGACGTGCAAACAGTATTGCCCATGGTTTTCTTACATGCTATCTGGCCGTTGAAGTACTTGCTTGCAGCTTGACCTTCTATTCGACATGCCACTGATGAGGCTAGGAAAATCTAGCTCCTGGATGACAAAACACGCCCACGCGCAATGCACTGCAATCAACCGACACCTGCACTTTCAATCTTGCAGGATGTTTGCCCCAAGCGGGCGTCATCTGGTGTTGCGGTCATGGCCAGCAACATGCTGACACCAAACTGCAGCGCCCTCCCCAGTTAGGACAACGCCCTTGGGCCGTTTCCCGAGCGACGAATCGACCCCCTGCACCTTGCTGGGCAAAAAGTCGTTGCAGCCAGTTCTGCAGCGCAGGAGGAAACTTTGTGCCTGGCTCGCCGGCAGATCGTCCACAGCCCAAAGGAAAAATCGGGCTTTGGTTCCCTAATGCTCCCTAAGGATCCCTACAAACCTTGAGGAACCCTGAAAGGGCCTCTCAACTACCCACCGCCATTGTACCTACCCCACCTTTTGGGGCCTAAGGGATTCCAAACTTGTCTGAATGTCACAAAACAGGGCATCGGGAACATTGGGAGCATTGGGAGCATTGGGAGGCGTGTGCGTGTGTGTGTGTGTGTATGAATGAATGAATGAGATGCGTCTGAGATACACGGGCAACGCGATGAATGTCAAGTGATCGATATGGGCAACGCGATGAATGTCAAGTGATCGATTGATTCAGGTTGATTCTCTGGTTTGCCCATTTTCTCAAATCTGTCAGTCTGGCTTAGGATTGCTCTCTGGATCACGATCCCGAAACAAGGGGAATATACAAGCTAGATCTATTTACACAACCAAGAGGGCCGAGCGGGAAGTCGTCGGTCCTGGCCGGTTGCTTTGAGTGATATGACGCTACAACAAAACCAAACATAGCATCAACAATTGATTGTGCCTCGCAAGTGTTTTCATACCTCAAAACTGTTGAATGGATCACTGTTGCAACACACATGCAATGCTTGTTTGACGAAATTGGTGATTTCTCATAATGCTGGACATTGTGCTACCTAGTTTGACCAACCCTAGAGACAAGACACGCTGATCATGACAGTCTAGCTACGTCAACCTCAGGAAACATGTTCGATGCACGGTCCCCACAATCGCTGCATCCCAAGCTAGAAGGGATGCTTCTGTGTACCAACGCGCCACTAATGAAAAAATACTACAGCAACAGCTCCGTACTTGTCCAACATTGCAAAGTGGCTGTCGGCAAGTCCAAGGACAACCATCCAGGTGCAGGAAAAGAATTGCTCGCGTAGACGTGGAGCCGCAAGAAGCAGCGCTTGAAGACTCAATGCGAAAGCGTCTCATGTGCCATTCTGGGCGGACCTTGTTTGTTCGGTTGATTTGATGTTGCGGCCAGTGCGATTGCTCACAATATGTCATGAAATGTCAGTGTCAAGGGATTGAAATCATTGCCCCTCAAATCAGCGCGCTGAGGATGGTATGGTCAATCACCTACTTCCAAGCCGTCCCCAATTGCCATTCAACCATCTTTGGGGTTCTCCTGTCAAAGCAAAGAGATTGGGACCGGGGCTGGCTTGCATCTCCCCAATGCATGATGGAGCATGGCCATTGTTTGTGAAACGAGGGAAGACAGAAGTATCTATGCGTACATCGTAAGTTGCAACCTGCGAAGATGCGCTGGACAGGATCAGTCAGCTGTTGCTAACCCCAAGAAAAACCATATTAGAAAAGTGCCAGTGACAGAAAGGCAAGCGTTTTGTGTGTAACCTGCACTAAACAAGTTCCCATTCCCAGTACTTCCAAGACGCTAGCAAACTATGTCTTCACAAAACGACGGTGTTTAGCCCAAAAGACGGTGTTTGCCTGTGAATGGGGTTTTTGTTAGCTGGGCCCACGTGTGAAGTCAGCTGGGCTCGGAATTGAAAGCACCATCAAAGGTCCGGTGATCAACATGCATGCCTGCATGCCAAACAATGTACATTGCAGTCATATATGGCATATTTCCCATGCATGTGACAAGGTAAGCCTTCATGCTAGCTATGCAGCATGCATGGATATGGACCCCATGGATCGAGATTTCCTTGGCCACATGCGAGTATTTATCTGCTGCGCTGCGTGATCCACGCGATGGCATCAGCATGCAAGAAGTCACACGCGCAACAACAAACTCGTAGCATCACTGCGCAACAACATGTCTTGGGTCGTGTCATGGGCAGGGCTGCCGTCTAGGTGGTGGTAGTTCGATGCTTGTAGGCTAGCTGTGCTGTATGGGCAGACAACATCGATTTATACTTGTATGCTTTATCAATATCGTTGACAAATCGGGGACCGTGAGCCAACCGTGAATTTTGCGTGAACGACGAAGTTTACCCGTGAAAGACGGAGTCCTAGATCCAAATACCACAGCCTGCTGATTCGGCCTCCAACAATTACATGGCTACAAATCAAAGCCGTTTGCCCAGCTATGTGGCGCGGACTAGATCCTTGGACCTGCAAAAATTGGCCGCAATGTTTCCACAGAGTTAGCATGCGCGCATTGTACATTGGATTTTTCTGTGTGCAATGTGCATGGCAAGCGCGGACATCAAATCTCGGTCTACTTCTCAGAACAGTGCTAGTGCAAGCCCTGAAGTGTTAGTTGTGGTGTGTCCAGCCAGCCAATGGATGATCCTGGTGTGGTGCCTGAAAAACGCCCGGCTCCAACACTCGACTACACGTGCACCTAGCACTATCTTATCGAACAACCAAGATTGTGCACACAATATCAATACCAATCTGGCGCAAAACGCGGTGGTGATGTCTCACTGTGCAGTGGCAGAACAAGAGGCGAAAATAAGAGCAGCGTGAATGAGCGTGACATTTCCCAAGACCATGTTTACTCGCTAAAGACGTATGAAGCGCTGTTTACTCATGTCTTGGGATGCCCTGGGCAGTGCAGGGTTACTCCATACAATTCTCAAATTCCACCAGCAATGTTTGTGCGGTAATATACACATTCTTATAAATATAAATATATATATATGTATACATATATATATATGGCCCTCTTTTTGGACTCCTTGTGCTGGACACACCCATGGGCCCCTAAAATTTTCCATGCCGGAAAAACCGCGCCTGCCATGGCGGCCGCGCTGACATTGGGTGCGCTGGAGGGCCGGATCACCGTCTGGGTCTGCGTGGGCTGTGTTGGTCGCTCGCACAAGTCTAGGGGTATCCTCCCCATTCTTTCCAGGGATCAACCCCTAGAACAAGTTTGCCTATCGGTGCTTGAAACACTCCAATCCAACTGAAAGGGGCTGTTTTTGGGGTCAGGCATCAAAAACAAACAAACAATGATCAACAACAAACACCCTCTCAGGGGGGTGATGTAAGTCAAAACACCTGGCTGTTGTGATATAGTGAAACACCTGTAGAGCGAAGCCGCAAGTCCTTTTACATGAGCATGACAAATGGTATATGGTGAGAAGGGCCTTAAAAGAAAGAAAAAAGTGAGGGATTGCCATGAGGTCGACTGTCAACAAAACAGAACACGGGGGGGGGGGGGGCAGGACAAAGGGAGCCGGCCACCCCCCTTCCCCCCCACATGATGTTCGAAGCAGTGATGATTCGGCCAACGGTGCGCTTCTCCGTCAGGTGCATGTACCGGTGCAACTGCTACTCGTATCAAAATTAAAATCAAAAACAGCAGGGGGGGGGATTGGGGGGAGGGGGGCCTTCCTTCCTTCCTTTCCCTTCCTTTCCCTTCCCTTCCCTTTCCTTTCCTTCCTTTCCTTCCTTTCCTCCCTTGCCTTCCTTCCTCCTTCCTTCCCTCCTTCCTTCCTTTCCTTCCTTCCTTCCTTTCCTTCCTTCCTTCCTTCCTCCCTCCCTCCCTCCTTCCTTCCTCCCTCCCTCCCTCCTTCCTCCCTCCCTCCCTCCCTCCCTCCCTCCCTTCCTTCCTTCCTCCCTCCCTCCCTTCCTCCTTCCTTCCTTCCTTCCTTCCTTCCTTCCTTCCTTCCTTCCTTCCTTCCTTCCTTCCTTCCTTCCTTTGCTTCCTTCCTTCCTGCCTGCCTGCCTTCCTGCACAAGGTATTGCTGTTTGTTGCGTTGTTTGTTGATGCCTATTTTTTTGTTTATCTCTATTTGTTGTTTCCCTTGAGGCGTATGGGCCAATTTTGCGGCTGGCACTCGCCTCATCAGTTCCATCCTTGGCTGTATTAGGCATGCGCACGAGGACATGAGGCATTTGCACGCGCGTGCAAGTGCAGAAGCGGCTGGCTGAAGATACCAGCATATGTCTGTGAACAAAAACTCCACACCCTTCGTGAACTGAGTGCATCCAGCCCGACCCGGGCGAGTCGGTGAGTCCCCCGCCCCCGTCTTGGGTCGTGGGAAGTTGCCGGCTCCGGCGTTGCCGGCGCCGCCGGCGCCCCAGCCCTGCGGCCAAATTTGGGCTGGAAAACAGTACCTACAATTCAGCTCCATGTGCTCCCCTGCTTACAACTTCTTCACCAAGAGTATCATGTATATCTGCGAATGGCTCATACAGCGCAGGTTGCCTGTACAAGGCTTTAAACATCTGCAAAACCCAGTAACAC